TATTATTTTTGTGATAGTTTGGTTGAGATAGTTATAATATATGCATTATCCACAATGCATCATTTTTTTGAATTTTCTGCACAAACAATACATGCATTGTTTGCTTGATGTAACATAAACGATCACTCAAAATGAGTGATAATTAAATCTCAAATTTTGTGTGAGATTGTTGAATTTTTTCCTCTTCCAACTATGCCCCCGCCTTTTTCATGTGTGTTGCTTTTTATATTAAAAACAAAAGGTTAAAAGTGACATTTCACCCACAAAGTAATATACTTATTTAAATACTAGGCAAAATACACATTCATAACCATAACTTTCACGTTTATAACAGTTATAGCTAAAACTTTTGTTATACACGAAATAGCCATGTTGATGAGTGTTTGAAAAATCTAGCCATTTTTTTACAAACTTTAACGATGTTAGAGATTTCGTCAGTTAGGTTAACCGCACGCTGACTATGATACCAAATTGATGACACGTCAGCGACAACTCAGTCTCACTTGCACGTAGATATCACGCCATAATTTACTTTAAGAGCATTTGAGGCAAAATACACTTCCATAGCCACAACTTTCACGTTTGTGATAATTATACCAACAACTTTCGAAAAACACGAAATAGTTAGAATTTTGATGTTTGTTTGACAAACCTAGTAATTTCCGTTACAAACTTTCAAAATACACAAAGCAGTCGGCCATGTCCTCGCTTTCTTCTCAGGACTCTATTTGTGAGTGAAGGCGACGAATTGGGCCGATTGACAGTTTCGAGGAATTGGAGGGGAGAAATGCACTACCAGCCCCCACATCCTTCCTTCTGGACCCACCGGTCTCTGTAGTGCGGAGACACCATCCTTTCTTTCACCGTCACTGCCAATGTCTTCTTCTTCGCTACTACCATCAAACTTCTTACCAACAGGCTTCTTGCCCTCGCTCTCCATTTTTCTGCGACTCCGCCAAGCTTTCGAGTCCTTCTTCTTCTTCTTCTTCTTCTTCTTCAGACTAGTGATTGGAGATCTGAATTGGCAATTCGAGAAATAAGGACTTCTTCTCCAGTCATACTATTCAATGACACCGTTGAAAATATGGACAAAAGTGGTTATTTTGTTTATTTCAAAAGTTGTGGCTACAGCTGTCACGAAGGTAAAAGTTGTGGCTATAGAAGTGTATTTTGGTTTTTTTTTGTTTGTTAATCCACGTGGAATGGTGGGGACAAAATATCGCCAACTCAACATTTTCATGCGTCCAGTCATACTGTTAAGTGACACTGTTAAAGGGATGAACGGAAGTGACTATTTTGGTATTTCGAAAGTTTTGACTATAAATGTCACAAACGTGAAAGTTGTGCTATGAAAGTGTATTTTACCTAAAGACTACAATAAATATAACATAAACCAAACGATGTAAACTACAATACACCAATTTTCTTATCTATATTGCAGAAAAAGGGTTGAATTTGACATGTGTGTCAGGGTGTTAACTTGTCTTCCATTTTCATTTTTCCTATCTATAGCCAAAGAATGTAACAACCCTAGTGTCAGATTATTGAAATGTTTGAAAGGTTCACAAATATAGTAAGTGCCTTAATGACTTGTGGAAGTCTATACTATAATACTAATGCAGACTTAGTTCATAAGATTTTAAACTTTTTACCAAAGTCTTGGAGATCAAAGGTAATGACCATAGAAAAATCAAAAGATCTTGCTAAGTTTGAGTTAAGTGAGTTGATAGGCTCATTAACTGTTCATGAAAGTGTGATGAGAATTGAGGATATTGAGCAACCTCGTAAGAGGAAGGATCTAGCACTCAAATTTCATTTGTTAGAAGATGAAGAAGAAATAGAAGAGCAGATTTTGTGCTCTCTAAGTAGCTAGGTTATCTGGGGTTTAGAATAAATAAAAAATCCTATCTAGATAAATCTCTAAATGGCATGAAAAAGGACAGTAAAAATGGCAGTAGAGACGAAATGAACAAAAATGTTGTAAATGTCGAAATGGCTATTATCACTTGTTTTGGGTCTGGAAAACTAAGACACTTTATATTTAAGTGTCCAAATAGAAGACTCGATAAGGAACGGGTCATGGTGCTACATGGAGCTATAGTGATGAAGACTAGAATGAGTATGATTCGAAAAATGAGCATAGAGGGTATATGGTCTTTATTGATCAAGATCATCTAGGAATGATGGCCAAGGAAACACCAAACATGCAGGGAAAAATCAACAAGAATAGTTGGTATTTGGATAGTGACTGCTCCAATCACATTACAGGAGATGAGAGAAAATTCTAAGACACTGCCACCAAGTATGGAGGACAACAAAGGTTCAATCACATGTGTAGGCCTATCAGATCCTCAAATAACATTAAGTTGTCGAATGTGATGTTGGTGGAAGGTCTAAAGTTCAATTTACTTGCTCTCGGCTAGTTTTGTGAGAAAGGTAACAAAGTAATCTTTGATAAAGACACCTGCAAAAATGAAAGAATATTGGATGGTAAAAATATTACTTACTAGAAATAAAAAAAAGGTAGGATGTTCACAATTAATTTAGTAGATACTAGTATTGTACATGAGAAATATCTGGTAGATTCTACTACTGATACTCAACAGATCTCGCATAGAAGAGTATCGCATGTAAACACGAGTGTCTTATAAAAACTATCCAGATTTAGCATTTAGGTCAAACACCAAAATATTATGCAATACATGTGTCCTAGGAAAAAAACAATTCAACAAAAAAAAAATCAGAAAGTCTTTCAAAAGCAAGCATGATATAACCACTAAAATAATACTTGAACTGTAACATCCCGAACCTTTTTCCCGATGAAGATTTTTTCAGCTTTTGCCTCGACCCTCACGGATTTCGACTTGGGGTGCAATTCAAGGTCACTTATCATTGCTGTACTTCACACTGAGCACGTTTAACTTCGGAGTTCTCACCGAAACTCCTTCGTTTCACCCCAAAACGCGTCTTGACAGTTAAGGTCGGTTTCTTGATCATGAACCATGGATCTCTCTCGTGCTTTGTCGATGTTGGATTCTCCTAAAGTGTTACATGAAATTATAGATATGAATCTATTTGGACCTAACCAAACCATGAGTTTAGGAGGTAAATACTATGCATTCGTTCTGGTAAACGACTACTCTAGGTACACATGGTTTATTTTTCTGAGAGACAAAGATAAAATTATCACTGAAACTAAAACCTTTTTCACCAAAGTACAGACATACAAAATTATATGTCATAAGGATTAGAAGTCATCATGGAGGAAAATTTTATAGTAATCTTTTTCAAACATTCTGTGATAGTCAAGGGACAGAGCATATATAACTTCCAAGCTCCCAGAACACCTCAACAAAATAGGATTGTAGGAAGGAAAAATAGAACCCTATAAGAGATAGGAAGAACCATCCTCAAAAAATATAACTTGTCTCAAAATCTGTGGGCAGAAGTAGTTAATAAAGCCTACTATGTAACCAATAGAGTTCTAATTATGAGTAAACTCAAAAAGACTCTCTACGAACATTGAAAGGGGAATAAACCAAACCTTAGTTACTTTCATCCCTTTGGAAGTCACTGCTTCATCTTAAATACAAAAGGTCAAATAGGCGAATTTGAACCCAAATCAGATCCAACCATTTTTCATGGTTATTCTACCAGGAGTAAAGCTTACAGGGTTTTTGAACAGATAAACAACATATAAACATCCTCTCATACCCCAACGATGACTGTAACTCCATCATAAACCAAGGCAATTACTACTCCTTCTCAAGCATGCTCCCTATAATCAGTGAGTGTGAGCTTCCCCCCTTATCATCCTTTGCGGATGAAATTCGCTCTCTCTTAGTCAATCTTGGATTGGAAGGACACTTTGACCCCTGGAAACCTAGTTCCTCATCCTTCTGTGCTCTAGTTGTTCGCCAGTTCTACCACAATCTTCACTTGGACGTGTCAGGTCACTCTCGCCTTACGTTGACATTTCTAGGTTTCCGGGTCAACTTCGACTTCCAACAGTTTGCTGATAAACTTGATCTCCCATCTTGTAGCCTTTCCCTTCGGTATGCGTCAGAGTTTCAGCTCCATTGACGATGAGCTTCACCAACTAACTTGCGGCGTCATTGCCATGGCAGTTCTTCCTGTCCATCTTTAGGTGCTACACTGGCTCATCACTCAATTCTTCCTTCCTTGTGTTGATCATATCTTCACCATTGAACACTTTGATCTCTTCATATTGGTCAATGCTCTTCGTGTGAGAAAGATGAATCTTTCCTTCGTAATCTGCCTTCACATAGCAAAAGGTTGCTCCACATAAAGGGTTCTGGAACACAGGTATTCCCTATTTGGGTAGGGTAAAACTCGAACCCAAAGGACTCTTAGTGGGTACGAGTAAAACCCGAACTCGAATATTCCGGATAATGGGTGGGCATGGGTTTCTCACTATCCAACCCGAACCCGTCCGATTATACACATACATATGTATTTTGTCTAGAAATAATGATTATTTTTCTCTAGCATACTTTATATTTAGCATATAAATATAATATTTTCATGAAATTTTATTGCTTTAATTAATTTTCTTCATTCTGGTGAATTATTGTCGTACTTTTCCTCTTACGTAATGTGAGAATACGTGTGAATGTTAACATATTGGTTGAAGTTATGAAGAAAAATTATTACCTATGGATACCCGAAACCCGAACGGGTGTGGGTATGGTTTTGATTTTCAACCTATTTCTTATGTGGGTATGAGTAAAACCCGAACTGATTTAGATAGGGTAATGGATATGCACTATCTACACCCGACCCGACTCATTGCCATCCCTACCTACAACATTCTCATAGGCCCAAAATCGAACATCAATGGCATAGCGAGTGAGAATAGAAATAAATATGTTAACACTAATAAACCATACACAGTAAATATATCTGAGGTAAGTTGGAACTAATGACATAGGTTTCAGAGCTTATACAACTAACTTGCTTAGACCAGTCCACGCTTGATTAAAGAAGAGGAATGCCGAATTACAAAGTGAAGATATAAGATATCCCTGATGCAACCTTTAACAATACTCTGCCCCATCTAATCTAATAAGGGGAGTAAGCTATACACTCACTACCATCTATCTACTCGTGTATTGATATATTCTAACAAGTTTATTCCTGAAACAATGAAGGATTTGAACTTCCCAAAGTAATTATTTGAGTGTGCTGTAGCTTTCCGCCTACGTTCCGGACAGAGAGCTCTGAGAAGAGTCGACTTCAATCCACAGCATCTCAGCATATGCCTTCTCTTCTTCTTTCTCCTCTAAGCCATACTTGTTTGCCTCTGTATCTTCTTCTTCTTCTTCATCATCAGGGACCTCCTGAGTTTCTTCTATGCGTGCCAGCTCTTCGCGTGCTTGTCTTGCGTGATACTCAGTAAGTTCTGATAGTGCCTCTCTCATTGCCCGAGCTGTTGCTGGTCTATCTGTTGGTCTGTATTCTGGAGCTGGTACAGCGAATGGCAGAACGATGTCTTTCAAGCTTTCCTGATCCTGATTAGAGCCATCATCGGTTGGAGGGAAGACGAAGATTATCCCAAGTTCATAGTTGCAAACGCGAAGCTTTGGACCTGAAGAGGAGTTTGAGATAGTTTGTCCCCAAGCAGCAGCGCTGAAATTATGGGAGCCGCAGTACACCCAGCCAACTGAAGCTTCTTGCGTCCCACGCCAGAATTGTCTCCTGGCAACCTGCTTACAATGATTTACCCTCAGTTTCCCAAGTCGGCAAGTTGAATGATTAGAGTTCATGCCAAAAGTTTTTACCTTCACATGCATAGGATGCCCGACTCTCTCATGAGGATGAGGGACAGCATCACGAAATATGTTAGCAGTTCGCAACTTCTGCCATGTTTTCTAAAGAGGAGCAGACAAAGGAAAGAGCGAAGGGATTATTTAGGCTTTGGGAAGCTAATATCTGGGATGGTCATAAACAGCATCATGAGTACCTCAGAGAAGCACAGAATGCGCCTCGAAGATAGGATCCCACCATGTGCCTTCTTTACTCTATCGATTGTAGGGAAAAGTATCTTCATAGATGGGTTTCTCAATTCTTGACTAGCACTCCAGCAGCCCCACTGTCAAGACAATCAATTAACTGATGAATGAATGAGCACAACAAAGACTTCATATCTATATGGTCACATGACTGTTGGAAAGATGAAGCTGATCCCTAGTACCTCTGGATCAGATTCTTCAGAATCAGGGAGGTTTGACGATCTTTTCCCGGCTGCTGCTGAAAAAGCAGAGACAAATTGTGCACTGACGGACCCAATTGAAGATGCACCTGTAGAACAAAATAGTATGACATGAAGAGTAAAAGACATGTAGAGAACCGCAGATAGGAGTCGGCCGACACTCACCATAAATGAAATCAGATTGCTGTGACTCAGGCCATTTGTATCGACCTAAAATCTAATAGATGACAAAATGTAAAATCAGTCAGCAGACACTATTGAAACTTTCTTCCCAGCAGATAACTAGCCACGTCCATGGTTGATACTCGTAAAGTTTCCACAAAAGAATGGTCTAGGATGCACCCACATACGAACTCATATTCTAAATAGAGAAACATAAGTGAGACTGGAAGATGAAGACTGGGGGAAAAGTTGGTAGTTGTATGGTTAAGGGTCAACATGTATGGTTACTAGAACTGAATTCTACCTCCTCTAAACGCCAAAGGCCTGTACAACTCTGGAGGGAAGCAATGAGAGAACAAAGAGCAATAACGTGTTTAAATTGCAACAACTTCATCATATCAGCAAATCGAGGACCCTGCATCATTAAAAATCACCAGATCATGCTCTCATCTTCACATAAAAACACTGCAACTTTCACATACAGAAGCAAGTGTACTCCAAAATGATACCATACTTGTAACACATATAACCTCAGTTGCACTATGTTGCTGCTTCCTCCTAAAGCAACAGCAAGGGCTTCTTTAGGAGAAACATATCCAGAGAAACTAAAGAATCCGTCATCCCACAATGGCGACACCCACTTCGCAACACATCTAGGCAGAAAACCAAGTTGGATGCAATCTATTTCAACAAATAAAGCAATCAGTCTGTGTAGCAAAAGCATAAATATGCCAAATGACCCCATGTCTCAACTCTACCTTTTCATAAAGCTACACGCATGATACAATATACATAAAAACACAGAAGTAGGGCCATGAAAAAATGTGAAGACACCAGAACAGTAACCCAAACAGATAAACGGTATCATATAGTAATAAGACAATTACCTCCTTCAGAAGCATGATCAGGATTAGAAACAAGAACACTAACAGCATTTGCATCTGCCACCACGCTCATGTTTCTTCTCAAAACAACTTCACACATGCCATCCACAGTTTCACGAGTTCTACTAAGAAAACTGGCCAAACTCTTAAGCTGAATGCCTTTGATGTCTGACCTAGAATGAAACAGATGGCTTAAACCAACAACAGATGCTTCGGCCCAACCCAAAGAATCCACAACAGGTGAGGCCAGTTTACACCGAGATGTCTGTGATGAAGATAGCAAAGAAAATACGTAAGTCCCAGAATGGAAAGCAATTATTTGACAATAAAGAAAGCCATCAAATTTGACCTCATTGGATAGAACAAATGTGTATCAACAATTGAAGACTCCAAAAGAGAGCATTCTAAGATATTGACAATCATCTCATTGAATCAAGCGTAACCAAAATGAAGGCACTTACATATTCTGTCCTGTAAGAATGAATTCCTGGTATTGAAGCAATTATATGGCAAACTGCCCCTTCAAAGTCATATTTTGTTAACTCGGCAACCCAATGTGCCTGAGTAGGAACATCAATAACAAGCGACGCCATAAATCTAGCCAGCTGAGCAGCAAAATCTGATGACGTTTGAGTTGCTTCTCCATTAGGCATTCTTCTAAAAAGAGATGAAACATCAGGTTCACTTCTGACTGGGAAATCTTGCCACCAAATGGTGTTGGTCACATGGTTCCACTGTAAGAGTCAGAGGCAACCATGGGTTACTGTATTACTTTCTGCCCAATGCATCTAAGCTATGATCATTAAGACATTCTGACACTGGAAAGATTGGTTTACATTAAGTAATCACCTGGTTAGGAACTAGATTTGCAGAAGTGATGATAACACGGAGGCTGTTATCTCTTTGCAAAACAAGCAACTTTGGATGGTGACAACCGATGCCTTTTTTCTTGAGGTCTTTACCAAATGCTATAGCCTCGGGAAATGGGGGGAACCTATATTTGATGGGACCAGACTCCAGGAAAGTTAACAGTTGTCCATCTAAAACTTCAAATAAGACCTTGAACCAACTACAGCAATCCGCTTTGTTTTCTCGATCTTTACTAGATGAAGAAGTTGAATCCATCACTTACACTACTTCCAAATTTGGGTACTCTGGGTAAGGTTTTGAGGATCGTTGCCCAGGGCTGGAGCTCCAACATCTTTCAGTGTCATGACATGCAATTGTTACCGGAAGTTCGTACGGAATTCCACAGTATTTTAAGAACCTGCCAGGAACAGGAACTCAGTAAATCACCAACACCTGAAAATTCAGTTGCACTCAATATGCAGAAAACGGCCCATTAATAAATGGAAAGAAAATGAACTCATTGAGCCACTCAAAAACTGTTTAAACCTTTGAGTTCTGAATCTTATACTCCAAAGGCTGAAAAGGAATTAAGACTGCAAAGCTAAATGACCACGTTTCAGAACTGAACAATAATAAACCACAAACAAAGTCAATGGAAATTGCAATCATACCATAAGATATCACTTGTGAACGTAGCAATAAATATTCGCATAATGCTGTGGACAGGATAAAGCAGTTCTGGCAATGAGATAGTGTTATGATTTGTAGACGAAGGATGATCCATAAACTGAAGGCGGTTCAAATAGAACTTCTTCCCTGGGGGCCGCATTTGATCTTCTGAAGTGTTCACATGGGCTGGCTGGACTGGAGTACTGTTTCTCTCATTCCAATTAGGCAACAATGGAACACCAGAAGTAGCATTCTTGGCTGCCCTCTCGGATGGTAATGTCAAATTCTGTATTTTATGCATTTGGCCACCTCTGTCAGAGATACATTGCCTGTCATCGCCCTTTCCTTCACTATTTTGCTTATCATCATGGACATATGGACTCCTAATGGGATGTTCTTCACCACTGGTAAAAAGAGCTCCACCTTTCATAGGATCTTCAGTTGTGTCAAGTAGGTTCATACACGGCTGGGAGCTCGATCCATTCTTAACGCAAGACTGAGCATTCATCCCCACCTCTTGTAAAGCCAATTGTCTGATATAGCTCATGGGATCATCACTGTGCAATATATGCAGACATTGACTAAGCAGCGACTTTGCCCTTCTTGCAATGACACCATATCCCGGTCTCCAAGACTCATTACATGGTGACATTATCTCACCTTCTGAGAAAGCAAAGACTCTTTTGCTTCTCTTTCCAGCTGAAATTGATCTTTGGGAATGCCCCATCGAGGCGGTCTTCTCATCTAACCTCTTCCTCCTCCTCTCAAACTGAGCCCTATCCAATCCCCAGATAACTTCCTCCGTCAATACAACGCCCTGAATCACAAACCCAATTCGAACACCTAAGCTACAAATACCTTCATTTCCACAAACAAACAACACCTCATCACCGGCACAAAGCTCTCTAACCACACCTGTCTCAACCCTCACACCATTAACAAACACTCCATTCGAAGAATTTTGGATGCCAGAACAGCCCATGTTCACCGCTTCCTCCCCTCCCAACTGATTATAAGAAAGGATTCTCTTCCTAAACTCACTAACAGCAGCATGGCCATCAGGCAAAAGAAATGAGCCATCGAGAATATAAACCTTACGGTGAAGACCGTCGAACAAAATCTGGCAGTGTCTCTTACTGACACGGGAATCGCGTACGAGAAGGTCACAGTGGCCGCTCGCTCGACCGACGACGTAAGGCCGGTCGGCTTCCAGGCGGATGGAAGTGAGAATCGAACCAGTGGTTGGGGAAACAAGAGGGACATCGAAGCTCCGGAAGTGGATGAGTGCGGATTTGCGGATTTGCTTCCGTTTCTTCCTTGAGGGCAAAATTGAGGATTGGGACAAAAGCTCATCCTCCTTCTCCAGTCCATTGATTGCTTTGTTATTGCTGGCGCCGCTGGTCAGAGCAAAATCTCTCATGGCAAAGGAGTTGCACTACAACCTCCGGCGCCGACCGTAATCTTTGACTGAGAGGAACTCCCAAAATCCCGTCCAGTCGTGCAGACTACCGATTCCGAGAAGCAGAAGCCGGCGACGGGTGGGAAATGGAATTGATGGCCGGCCGCCAGGGCTTGCTTCGACAATCGGCAGCGGTAGTGTTCTGATATTCCCTCCTATTTTCCAATTCAGGGAGTGGCGCGGCATGGCGTTTTGACTTTTAGTGATTGAGAGTTGAGAGGTATGAGAAGCTTATTTGAGAAGCTTGGGTGAATTTTTGTTATAGTCACTAAGGTATACTCTAGTTTCGTTACCATCACCGAATTAATTTAAATTAGATTGTTGTAAATCATTGCACTTTTGTTCAAAAATCAATAGTTGTTTAGGCAAAGGGATATTTTGGACTTTTCCAGAAATAGCACCGTTTGAAAAATTCCAAAAATAGCACCCAACTCCAAAAAGTTTCAAAAATAGCACTCTTTCACGAAAATCGCACCGGTAAGGGCGGTTTTGCTGATCGCGCGGGGTCGGGGCGGTTTGGTTGCAAACGGCACCCCCACCCGACGGTTTGTATTAAATTTTTTTTGGGCAATGTCTATTTTTTTATCCAAACCTTTTCAAAATTCTTTTAATTTATCCAAACCTATCAAAATTATATTTATTATCCAAACGTTAAGTTTCCATTAACAGTTCCGTTAGTTAAAACTGAGCGGGCAAAAAAAGTGTTGATGTGGCAATAAATTAATTTTTTATTATGCCACATTATTCTCTAATAACCATTTATTATTTTAGGGAAAACATAAAAATTAAATCAACCCTCGTCCTTCTCTCTCAACCACAATCACATCACTGCGGCTACCGTAAGCCCCAAATTACCCATCGACCAAAAAACCCTGCTTCTGGGATTGCCCTCCCCTCCAAAAAGGGACCCAAAAATTCCCAAACTTGGTGCAAATGATCCCAAGAGCGCATCTGGACGGCGCTGAAACGAGAAGCAGCAGTGACTACGGGAAATCAACTTCCGACGAGGGATACGACAGCGGAGATTACGGTAATGATTCGTCTAGGTTAGAATCGAAATGCTCGGATGAGGATGAGCCTGAATTGGATCGGGGATACAAGAAGGGAGACATCGGTGAAGCTAATAGCGGCGCCTTTTGCGATTTCAGATTGATGAGAAGAGAAGACGATGAGCAAATAAGGACGTCGACCTCAAGCCCTCGCTGCCAAACCCGCCGTCGACACCGTCGCCGAGAAACCTGCCGTCGTTGGAGCTTCGTCTCTGACTAGATCTAGATCGGCGCTTAGAACCCTCAAGCCCTCGCTACGAAAAGTGAAAATCGCCATCGCTGCCAAAACCGGCGTCGCTAGAGCTTCATCTCCGACGAGATCTAGATCGATGCTTCTGTGCTTGATTTGGCTTGGCCAGGATCCAGATCGAGCTTTTTCGTTTTCTGGATGAAGAGGAAGGAAAAGGGAAGGCAGAGAGAGGAAGAGGATTGGGAAAAAGAGAGTTGAGAGGCGGAGAGAGTAAAGGAACAAAAAATAAAGAATTGATATTTTTTATTATTTTATTTGTAGTTTCAAAAAAAAATTATGATTTTTTATTTTATTAATTTCAGACGTGGATGCTGACGTGGAGTTCCGTTACGAAATAAGTAACGATAACAGAACGAATGCCTAGACTTTGATAAGTTACAATAAGTTTGGATAATAAATAGAATTTTGATAGGTTTGGGCAAAATAAAAGAATTTTGAACAGGTTTGGGTAAAAAATAGACATTGCCCTTTTTTTCCGAGTAAACACAATAAGTGGTCTTGGCACAACTAATTTAGTTGTTTATTGTGCGCAAGACGTCCCAGGTTCAAATCTCCATCATCCCATATTAAGTATTTTTATTTAGTAGAGATTAAAAAAGGGAGTTTTTAAATGCCGCCCTTAAAATTGCTAAAGATCGCCCTAAAAAATATCAAAGTTACACTTTTAACCCCTTAGCTTCTTTACCTTCCCTTTAGCAAACAAACACCACTTAGACTAAAAAAACACTATCCAAGGAGAGAAAAATCTATCATCGCCACTCTGGAGCCGATATCGTCGGTAGGACGTCTAAATCATGAGTAGCGACTCCGACGAGGTAAAAACGTTCACTGGAAAAAGAAAAAAAAAAGAAAAAATGAGAATCGCGGCTCAGATGCTGTTCAACCATGGTTCAACCGCAGGTCACTTGCGGTTGCACAATGAATCAACTGCAACTGAAAATCCATCATCGCCATTCTGGAGCCGATATCGTCGAGGACTCGGGGTAGCTTTCCCCCGGCCGGCGGCACGGCGTCCGCCGACATTGCGTCGAAAACCTAACTCCAGTCCAATCGGTTGATCGCCCTCCGAAGTTTGCGGAGCGAAAAAAACCCTTTGCACTGAATTGAATTTAATGTAACTATCTATGTTTTAAATCAATATATGATTATATTTTGTAAAAAAAAAAAAAAACACAAGTGCACAATTGTCCCTAATTCTGATTGATCCCTGATTCTGAACGACTGTCCTAGGGCTTTTCCTCTTCTTCTTTCTTTCCTCCTTCCTATTTGGAGAAATAGTTTCCTCTCCTTTCTCGCATCTCTCATCGGTCGCCTTCGATGGCGACACCTTCCGTCTCTAATGCCGGCGCTCCCGCCACCGGCCACTCACCCCGACAATCAACCGTCGCTCTGGTGAAGGCCGAAACCGTTTCAGGATCACCGCCGCAAGGCCAATTGCAACATCCGAACCCCCATGTCAAATCCGAGCAGGTCGAGGTAAATGACCTCCCAATTGTTACATTGCCGCCGCAGCAACCCGAGCAGCCGAGGTCTCAGGTTTTGGAATCAGTACAAGGATTGTGCAATCTATCTTCCGCTATTCTAGAATTCAAGAGCAGGTTCGACGAATTGGAGAAGCACCTCGATTTGGTCCGGACTGCTATCGAGAGTCACGAGCAGCCACATGGTCAAGTCGACGGCGAAGCTGTGGCGCTCGTGCCTTCGGGGGCAGATGGCGCTGTTCCGGCGAGTTCTGAGCTACTGAATCTCTGCGAGGCGATGTGCGGCAAAAGCCTCCGCAAGTATATCATCACTCGCCTAGACAACGTCCAGAAGCTTCGTGAAGAACTTCCATCGGCTCTTAAATCAGCTCCGCAACCGGCCAGGCTTGTGTTGGACTGCATTGGGAGGTTCTATCTTCAAGGAAGCAAAGCTTACGCCAAAAACTCTCCAATGGTTCCAGGGAGAGAAGCTTGCGTTCTTGCTCTGGAATTGTTCTTGTTGATGGCTGAGGGCGAAGTCCAGCTAGAGGAACATGTGAGACAAGAGGCTGTTCAGGCTGCTATGAACTGGAGAAAGAGGCTTGTAGTGGAAGGTGGCATTCGCAAAGCTAGTGAAATTGATGCCAAGGGTTTGCTTCTGTTTGTTGCGGCTTATGGAATTCCCAAGCTCTTCAAGAATGAGGACATTTGGGATCTGGTTCTCGCTGGTAATGCTGGCCAGGTTGCTGAGGCTCTTCGTAAGTCCACTGTTCTGGTGTCCAGAGTTACAGGTATCCTCGGTTTGTTCTTAGCTTCAAACATCTGCTATTTACGTTGTGTGTAACTTTCACTCCACTGCTTTCTGGAGTCTGCTGCTAAAAACTGAGAAAATGTGTAAATGAGGTTTTCTTGACCGGTGAACATGTAAGCGTTTGGGTTTTAGATGAACTACATTCGTGAATCTATACTGGTGGAACTAAATGCTAATGGTGGATACCGTGAGCAATGCTGCACAGTGCACACTGTGTGCATAGGTCCAGTTGAGAGTGCACGTTATACAGGTCCGAATGTCGAAAGAATGGTGCCTGTTTAACGAAAGCCGATGTGGGGATGTATAGTATACAGAAAGGTGCATTAGTTCTATTCTTAATGTGAGTGTGGTTCATGCTACCATAGATTGAATGTTGATGGTCATCACTTAGCATATAACGGAGGAGGTATATTCTACCATAGTTCTTTTCTCAATCGACCGAGCTTTGTAAGTTTAGGGGCATGTATACAGAGTCACTCACGTCCCAATTTTTCTTCCATGTCAAATATTCTAAGGTCAACAACAGCATATCAAGTGAAGAATTCTCTACAGGGAAAGTATCTTAAATGGGTCAGAGAGTTAACTGTTGCGAAGTTATCATGAATTGACGAAAGTATGTAGTCAGTGGACTTGCTACCGTGCTTGTGTTCGGAAGTGGGAGTTTGGCTGTTTTCCCCCGTCCTGGTAGTTTTAACTGGCTTTAGTACCATGTTTTGGTCTTTTTTAAGGTAAATCGAATCACAGTTAAATGAAAATGAAGTCTCATACCCATGTGTTCTATGGATGATTACAGAAATCATAGAGCAGGCGATGACCAGTGCGACAAAACAAAATGCCAAACTCGAGGCTGTTGACGTGGCATCTAGTTTCGGGATTGATGACAAGTTTCCTCCTCAGAAGCTTCTGACTGCATACCTTCGGGAATCCAAAGAAGCACTAAAGAAGAGAAGACGGGAAGCAAATAGTTTGCCCATGCTGCTGGTACGTACTAAGTTAGTTTTCATTTAAACAAATGATTTTACTTACTTTTCACCCTCGCTGTGTTTAGAGTACATGACTCTAATTACCACAACTATCCCTGCAGAAACAGGCAAATGACCGCCACTTGTCTTCTCTGGCATCTGTGATGAAGTTCCTCGAGGACCGCAAACTCGATCCTTTGAAAGTTGTTCCCGGATGGCAACTTACAGAGAAGATAACCAAGTTGGAGAAAGAGAATGCTGATCTAAACAAAAAAATTATGGACAAGGCGATGATTAAGAGGAGAGCTGATTTGAATGATATAACGACGAATCAAGCAATGAAGCGACCACGAGGGATTGGTCAAGGAGCATCCACTGGATCCGCTAGCATTGGGGGCTTACATGAACACAAGGCTGCAGCTGCAGCCCCCTACATGAGCCCATACAATAATAATACCTCATTGAGGGTAAACCATCCCCTGGGTGCTTATGGAGGAGATACATATCCTTGTGCAACATCAGCACCTCTCTATTCATCTGCAGGTGTGCCTGAAAATGCTGTAATGCATGGTGGTGCAGTGAATCATCATCAGGGTGTATACAATCTTCCCGCCACAAGTGCTTCTGCTGGGAATGTAGCAAATGGCCTTCGGTGGGAGACAGTGGTTGACAGGGCTGGGCACATGGTTGCAAACAACAGCAGCTTGGCATACGCAGCACAAGGTGGACAGAGTTATGTTAGCAGGCATGGTACGTATGGGCTGTTTGGGCCATCGCCTTCGATAGAGGGGTTTCCTGGACTGCCGAATTCGCCACCACCAGGAGTTGGTGCTGCTACTGCCACCAATCCAGCAGACTTGTACCGTTTTGCAGATTCCGTGGTCGAAACCGAGTATAACAGTAGGGGTGGATGGTGCCATCAGTAGCCAGACCATTAACGCTGTAATTTTTTACCTGTCCTGGGTATGTAATGTTAGTGCAGCGCAGTCTGCATAGATCCCTCATTACTAATAAGTACCATCACTCTTTTAATTTCCGGCGTCCGGCGAGTGCAACATTGTATTCCAGTCATCAGTCCGATTAAGGAGCCCTGCAATGGGGATTGTTCTGCAAGCATAGGACTCTGGAAGCCCAATGTTGTCATCGTCGAACTCCAGGATGCAGCCCTGATCACCTTCTGGCTGATTAATATCGGGACAGTAAATCATGAATCCGATAATGAAGTTATAAATTTGCTCCAACCACTAGTACTAGGGACATGAATGAGTATCGACATAGATGCTTCAGCGTCCGCTTATCGATGACTCCAGTGACCGGAAGACGGGAGAAATGCTGGTAGTAGCTCTTGATTGCACACTCCAGGTTCTCATCGAACACCTCATCATCAAAATGACGCAAGATTGGGCGCACGTGTTAACATCTTGGATTTCGAACTCTTCTACGAAAACTAAGATAATACGAAAAAGAAATAGATATATTACTACTAACATACTTCTTATCTACAAATAAATATAGGGTAAATGACACATTTGATCACTGAGATTATTAAATTGTGTCATGTTTAGTCACTAGAAAAAATTAATATCAATTTTGGTCACTCGAATTATCGAAACTGGTCAAATTTAGTCACTCTCCCGTCAGTTTCCGTCCAACTCCATTAATGTAGTTGGACGGAAACTTTTGGGAGAGTGACTAAACGTGACATGTTTCAGTAATACGAGTGACTAAATGTGACATTTTTTAATAATTCGAGTGACCGGAGTTGGACAGAGGCTACAGAAGAGTGACCAAATGTGACATGTGTCAGTAATTCGAGTGACCAAAATTGATATTAAAATTTTCTAGTGACTAAATATGACACGATTTAGTAATCTCAGTGACCAAATGTGTCATTTACCCAATAAATATAAGGGAATGTCAGGGGAAAAAAATCGCCACGTCAGCCTCTGCTTCACAAGCCGCACACTGCGGAGGGATTTTTTCGTCATTCTCAACTCCCTTCCCTAGCGAGCCTCCTCCTCGGTTTTTCTCTTCCACTCTCCTCCCGTGAAGTTTCCCGCCGCTTGCTAATCAGTAAACAGTAATCACAGCCCCTGCCACCATTGCCAAGGTATTATCTGCGACCAATCGTCATCCTTGGAGCAAACACCCAATATAATTCTGGAACCCCTGGCGTCGGAACTGCCGCCGCCGAGCAAACAAACCGCCAATGATAATTTTATAACAAGGTTGTCAACCCACGGGTTGACCCGCGGGTCGACCCAATTTGACCCTGACGCACGCACCCGCCGGGTCGACTGCTACAAGGTACCGGGTTGGAGGTCAAATTGTGTCTTTTTTTTCTTTGATTTGCGAAATGCGCCTATTTTCCGATTTTTCTTTTCGCCTAACTCAATTTTTGAAATCCTAAGTTGAACATTTGAATTTTTATATTATATAAGTGTGTGTGAATTTTCACTATCTGTTGGATCTAAGTACGATATGTTATTTTGGTGTAACATTATATGTTATAACTCATATGTTAGATAAAATTTGATATAATTTATGAGGATAAGTACAATATAATGACTCTTTTCATATTTCCGGGCCAAACCGGACTTAAACGGTCGACCCATTAACCCTTGACCCACTAGCTGGACCGGGTCCGGGTCAACCCGCGGGTTGACAACCTTGTTTTATAATTATTAGGGCTTCGGCAATTTAGCTGGGTTGGGTGAGGGATTTGCGTGACGTCAAACTGTTTTGGGTTTGGGTTTCTAGAGCACTTATGCAATTAATGCAATTGTAAGATTTATTGCATATATAATTTTTATTTTTATCACAATTTATCTACTCCAACTTCTTTAATTTTATTCTACAATATCAATGCAATTGCAATCTCAATTAATTTCTTAATACAACTATCAAAACGTAAGCACTTGAATAATAATATTTTTTAAAAACGATGATGTGACTTGAAAATCCATAATTACATTAGATGCAAGATTACAAAATGCAATTATCATCTATATCAATACAATTGCAAATGAATGTCATGTTATGATGAAATTCATAATATAATTCCAATGTGAATGTTATATACAGTTATTCGGGAAAGTAGAGAAGAAGAATAATAGTGTATTATCAATTCAATTTATCTTTCTTTTCTTTGTATTCCTCAAAATTAGAAATAAAAGATTTTATATTTTACCCTACTTAGAGTTTGTACGCGTCAAGTGGGAAGAATATAACTGGTAGGGGTGTGCAACGGTTCGGTTCGGTCCGGACCGGACCAAACTCATGAGAACCGCGGTCCATTAGTGAAAGACATGTTAGGACCATGGACCGGACCATTCTTGCATATGGTCCATTTGGTCCGGTTCGGTCCGGTCCAAATATGAGCTCGGTCCACCATTTCTTCAGTAATCATAAAATTCATGAGGACCAAGGACCGGACCGCATTTTACTCGGTCTGGTCCGGTCCGGTCTTAACAACGGTTTGGTCCGGTATGGTCCGGTACGGACCGGACCATTGCACACCCCTAATAACTGGTCAGCCTAATTATAGAATCCAATTTTAAGGTTTTTGTTGGTAAGGATTATTGGCTTATTGTTATATTATTTTGGGCAAATACAATATATTAGCCATAACTATCAAGCAGCGGGGAATTATAGCCACAACTATCGAAATACAAATTATTAGTCAATCGTTAAGTTTTCGTTAACACTTCTGTTAGTAATGATGACTAAACTTTTACGATGGTGAGCTGGCTCCCACGTGGTAGTCATCATATCATATTTTTTACGATGCTGACATGGCCTTCTAAGTTAAAAATTTGAAAACAGTAACGGGCTGTTAGCCAAATCTTGACCCACAACAATAGTTATGGCTAATAATTTGTATTTCGATAATTGTGGCTATAATTTCCCGCTACTTAATAGTTATGGATAATATATTGTATTTACCCTATTATTTTCTTTTTGTTCTTTCATGTTACACTAAACAAAGACTGAGTGGTTAGGGATTAATGGATTGAAATCGGGATGTCTGTCGTTGCCACCTATTCACTTTCATAGTCGCGAACAAAAGAGACTTCTTACATCTATGACTATACACTTATATTGGTTTTTGTTTTCAGGTCTAATTTCCCCCTAAAATTGTTGATGATAAAAAGAGCAGTTTTCTACCAAACTATCTGGATTAGAAATTATCTTCAATTACTGGATTTAAAATTTACTAATTTAGTTAAAATGATTGTATACTTGAAAAAGATGTCTGATACTATTCCGGCCGGCCAAGGGGCCGGGCACCAACTAGTTCACATATAAAAACGTAGAGCAAATATACATGTTCATAGGGTTAATCGCATAAACCCTTTCTCCCTTAAATAAGGTAAACAAATCCTAATCAACAAGTAAATAATAACTTCCAAGACAAGACAATTAATCATATTAGTCCTAAATAGAGAAGGCAATGAGGCGGGTTTGTGACGGTTTTGTCTAAACCATTCCCATTAGGGGTGTTCAAACGATGTGGTTATAGTTGAACCGTTTTAACTGATAGTATTTGGCTAATTTGGTTTGGTTAATTTGGATAATTGGTTTGGTTAAAAAATTAGCCTGGTTGGTTTGGTTTCATACACTTCTAACCAATCAAATCAACTAGTTAAATAATTACCCATATATCTAATATATATTATATACACATATTTAATACTGGGTATAACAACTCAATAGCCAAACATTCCTTCCTTTTAGGCTCATCAACAATAAAGCTCAATATTGTTCCTATTCTGTATATTTGTATTTATAGAGTGTAAACCATGATATATGAACGTCCAATTTAGATAAAATTCATACAATACATTAGATGAAAACTTGAAAGGAAGGTCTTTTTCAACCCATGATACTTGTTAAGAGACTAATTCAATTCACACAATCATAACAATTAATTAACTCCATACTATTAACATATATTTTTGTTAGGTGAATACTTCTATTGACGATAACATAATTGTATTAGTTGCATGTATTACAGCAAGGGTTAACTATAACTATGTGTTCATTGTAATGTTTTATTCATCATATAAATTGTGAATTGATGCATTAACCGAAAATTTTCTCACTTAATGATAATGTGATGTTATATTGGTTAACCTGATTAACTAGTTAACCAAACTGATTAAACTTTAGTTTGGCTAATTTGGTTGTTGTATTAGTTTGGACGGTTTGGTTATGGTATTGTATTCCATGGTTAATAGAATTTTGTCTTGTTTGGTTTGGTAATTACCATGATAACCATTTGAATACTCCTAATCCCCATCCCCGCTTTGAAATATACAAACCCATACCCACCTCATACCCATGGGGGGAAGGTTTTCCAAACCCATCCCCGTACCAGTGGGTTTCGGGTACCCATGGGTAATACCCGCCCCGTACATCTAACATTATAATGCCCAAAATTTTACTTGTAAATTTTCAATTATAGCATTAAACGCACCTACTCTATTATGAAGTCGACAAAGAGACAATCATTCTTAATACGAGCCCGACAAACGGTTTGGAAATGGAGTTGACCTAACAGAATCCGTCATTTCTTGTGGCTTGTGTTTCACGACCGTCTAATGACCAATTGTGAATAGAAGAGAAGGAAAATTTGCAGCTCGGACGTGTGTAACATCTGCAACGGGGAACCAAAATCGGATGAACACCTTATTAGACACTGCCCTGAGGCAAAAAAGGTATGGCAACACTTGGGAATCATGATAATAGCCTCACTTGCGGCCTTGATTTTTCGGGATGGTTGCTTGCGCATCTACAATGCACCAACCATGGGAGGTTGTACGACATTGCGGCTTGGTACCTATGGAAGCGACACAATGAAAAACTCTTCAAACACAAATGGGGAGAGGCGCATTCCTTAGCGTATCACATTCCGTGTTGGACGAGAAATATTGAGCATGCTATGGAGAATGATACTTGTGCGTTGGGAAGGGACATATGCAAACGAAACCAAGAGCTAGCTTGGATACCTCCACATGAGGGTTGGATTTCAGTCAAAACAGACGTATCAGTCAAACAACCAGATTCAACGGTGGTGGTATGTGGTCTTCTTTGGGATATAACGACAAATGCCTTGGTGCTTTCTTGGCCAATCTAGGAACATGCATTGTCACGAAAGTTGAGATCAAGGGAGCTTTACATGGACTCGAAATTGCTTGGGAGAAAGGATACAAGAAGGTACAATTTCACATTGATTCAA